TATATATACTGTATGTGTGTGTATGTATGTGTATATGTATGCATTTAAGGCATTTATATGTGTTTGAGTAACTTTTAAAAACTGCACAAAATCATTATTTTTATATGGTAATATTGCACGTTTGGTCTATTCATCTGTTGTTAATTTTTTATTGCCTTCATTTGCCAGATGCAAAAAAAAAAACAAAAATAAAAAAAGGAAAATCAGACATTTGAGTGCAGGACTGCTGGATGGCCAGTAAAACAAGTGAAGCTTAAATTTAACAGATTCTTGTTGCTTGATTAGTGTGTTTAAAATAGTTATTATTATATTATAGTTATWATTGCTCAGCTGTCCAAACTCATTGGTCAGACCACTTGTAACCTCATGTGCTTGTTCATTCTAGTCTGAAGTATGTCATTTTATTTTATTATTTTTTTAGCTTTTAGTACTSTCATTTATTTTCATTTTAAACAACATTCACTCACACACATTACAGCAGCTGATGCCAAATAATAGAAATATCTGGGTGACCGCTGTGTGCACACACTTGATAATGAACACAAATATTTATTTCCTGTTTGCTCCACTCAGTGTTTACTCTCTTCCTTCTTGCAGGAGAGACGATGCGAATTGCCTCGTCTGAGTTTGCCGATGATCCTTGTTCCTCCGTTAAACGCGGGACCATGGTGAGAGCTGCTCGCGCCTTGCTGTCTGCTGTCACCCGCCTGCTCATCCTTGCTGACATGGCTGATGTCATGAGGTTGCTGTCCCATCTGAAAGTTGTAAGTGGAACCATTCCCAGTGTGTGGTGTTATACTGTAAGTAGTCATTTTTGAACAACAGACCTGGCAACCTGCTGGCCTTTTGATTTATGACTTACTTGATAGTTGTGTGGTGGTCCAGAGATAATAGACCCTGGTTTTGTTGGGATAGCTTTTCCATTCTTCTCGCAATACCCATACTCTTTTTACTGAAACGTCCACATACACAGTGCAGACTTTTATCACCACGTCTACACAAATTAGCATATAAATGAGACATAGAGAAAAATCATGAGAACACACTGTATTATGTATGCTCCCATGTTATGAATCTCGCTCACTATAGTGAGAACATGGTTTGCTTGATCACTTCTTTTGACATTAGYTTTGTGTTTTGTAAAATAATTTAAAATGTTAAAGAAAGACAAGCTTTTGCCTGCAGAGATCTTCTGACACTCAGTTTATCACTTGCACAGTTGAGTTTTCTAAGTTTTGTTTCACTCATGGAGGGATCTATACGTGTACACAGTAATTCAAATGTGTCTAATCAGTCAATGTGTCCCAAAT